AAATTCCATTTTTATTGTCTTTAAACGTTCAATAATATTTAAAATATTTTTTTAAATTCTAAAAAAAAGTTACAATTTATAATTTTATAAATTAAATTTTTAACCTGGTAATAAGCAGTAAAACCTGTGTAAACCGGAATCGCACGGTACCGGATATTTTTCCGTTTAGGAAGGTTCCGTTTTGGACGGGTTTTTAAACAGAAAATCACTCTGTTTCAAAGAACTTTTTCCGTTTAGCTTAAATAACGCCTGTGCTTTTTGTCGAAAATTTCTGAAATTTTGCTGGGAGGTTTGCGTATTAGGGGGATTGATGCTGTGAAATTTTGGTTTATAAAGGTCGAGAGAGTGGGAAGATAAAGGAGGTTGTGTGTCGTATCTCGATAGGGTCTGACTTAGTGACGATTTTACTTGTTATTAGCATTTATAATTTTTTTTATAAAACCTCCCCTCAAAATAAAGCTCTTTGAAATTTTGTAATAGTTAAAAATATGAGAATTCTTTTAAATAAAATATCCTAACAGATGGCGCCACCAAATGTTGCGGGGAAAGTTAAGCAACTTATTACTGGATTTTTTTGTTTTAGAAATGTATTTTTGTTTTGTATTTTTTTAGAATTTCGGTGTTTCGTATATTTATGTTAAAATTTTGTGTTTTATTTTAAAAAAATAATTTGAAAATTTAACTTTAATACTTTTTTTTAATCCATAAAAGTATTTTTATTTTTATTTTAGGACTATTTAAATTACGTGAAACTCTCAACAAAAGTTCATCAAATTTCTTTGTAGTCTAAAAATATCATTTAAAGCATTATTTAAATTTATCTTCTCCCTCAAAACGCGTTGGAAGTGATTTAAATTAATCTTTCTCTTTGTAAAAACAGTATAAATTTTAGTTGAATTTTATCTGTAAAATGTTTTGCTGGAGAAAACGACTCGAAAATTTATTAGAATTTGGAATTTTTTTAGATGAAAACATTTAGAAAAATCAAAAAAATCATTTAAGTTTTTGTATAGAGATTATTTTGCGTTTATAGAAACAGAATTTAATGAAATTTTTGAGACAAAATTTAGAGAATTTTTCAAATTGTTCTGCAAAGTTTTTGATTTTTTTGAATTTTTAATTTTTTTTTGAAATTTTATGAAACTTTTTTGAATTTTTAAAATTTTTTGATTTTTTTTGAAAACGGTTTTGAATTTTTGAAACTTTTTGAAAATTTTCAAACGGTTATGAATTTTTTGAAACTTTTTGAATTTTTTCAAACGGTTTTGAATTTTTTGAATTTTTAAAAATTTTTTGAAATTTTTTTGAATTTTTGATTTTTTAAAAATTTTTTGAAATTCTTTGGAATTTTTATGAAACTTTTTTGAATTTTTTCAAACGGTT